TTACGGAATGAAAGTATTAATTGTATCGAACGTCGATGCATCAGACATCAAAGATTGCGAGTACATATTGAGAACAGCGGAGGAATTGGCGCCAACAGACGCCATATTCAATCTTGCTGTTGTACTAAACGACAAGATTTGTCAGAATCACACGATAGAGACATTCCAGGAACCATTCAAAGCGAAAGCGTGGACCACGAAGAACTTGGACCAGTTGTCCAGATGCATATGTCCTGAGCTACGTCACTTCGTCGTCTTCTCCTCTGTGTCGTGCGGTAGAGGCAATGCCGGGCAATTATGGGGATAGCACTAGAGATGTCGCTTCCGAACGACATCTCTCAACGTTATCTGGGGAGGGGAGAGTGTCGTGAGCGTGGAGCGTCAGATAGCTCAGTGGTCTAGAGCAGTCGCCCGGCAAGCGAAAGACCCGGGTTCGATTCCCGATCTAGCGACTACCGCGCTCTCGATATTTTTCTCTCCTCGGAACGAAAAATGAGATGCAGGTCCCGAGCGCACGGCGTCCCGTCGCCACCTAGTACGCCCTCCTTCTTTCATGGTAGAATGGCAAATTCTATCATGGAAAGAATCTGTGAGAGAAGAACACAGGAGGGCTTATATGGATTTGGCGATTCAATGGGGCGCCATCGGCGATGTCGGTATTGTAGCCGACATGCAAGAGGACGACAAAGAAATGGTCATTGGCGGTACATTGCAGCAAAAAATAAGTTCCTGCATCGAGAAGCTGGAAGAATTTCTCTTACAAAAGCAACCAGTGGCGGCGAGCATAGTTGTGGCAGAGAAGCGTTCGGGTGCTGTTTTAGCTCCATCAGTGTTATTGACACTGTAGCCAACATTATGAGTAAGTGAAAAGTATTAATTAAAATGAGATGGAAAAGGTTAACTGTTAACTATTATTTGAGGAGGAGAAATGCATATAATGTACAAATGTTTGTGAGTTGATTTTTGCATCTGCTTGTGCTCCTCGCAGTTCGGACGTTGCTACATTATATTTATTAATTACGAATTACTATTAACACAGGTGTGAAGGATTTGACTACTGTGTCTGCTCAGGCACACCTGTTTGAACTTGGAATGGACTCGATGATGGTCGTAGAAATCAAACAAACCTTAGAACGGGAGCATGGGATATTTTTCACTGCCCAGAATATTCGAAATCTCACTTTTGCCAAACTTGCTGAAATGTTTGACCAAGAAGCGAAGAATGAGAATTTACGCTCTGGTGATGTTGCGGATGGAAATAAATCGACTGGTCTAAAATTATTTATCCATACGATGGGTGAAGACAATTTAATAAACGACATCTGTATGAATCTTCAAACGAAAGGCGATACGAAGGACGAAATATTCCTATTGCCAGGAATCGAAGGTTGTGGAAATATTTTCTGTTCTTTGGCGCCGAAAATTGAAGCACCAGCAACATGCTTACAATATGGAACTTACAATATCGGCAAAAATTGTAACCGATATCGTTGATAGTATCTTTAAAGTATGAATCTTTCACTTCAATATAGTTATATAGCATAAAGTACAAGTAAAATTATGTTGTAACACAATATAACCTGATACAATATTAATTCCTTTTTTTAACTACTATTATATTTCATCGTCTTCTCTGCGCTTTCAGCATATGATACAAAGAATCAAATCTAAGCAAGATTTCCTTATAATCGCCTATTCGTATGGAACATTAATTGCGATCGAGTTAGCAAGAAGGTTGGAACAAATGCACTTCCAAGGCCGATTGGTGTTCATCGACGGCGCACCTGAACAGTTAAGAGCATTGTTAGATCAAACTATATCTGGCGCTACAACTGAGGAACTTGAGAATAATATCCTTCTAAGTATAATGGATGTTTTAGAGCCAACGATTAGCGGAAAGGTATTTATTATTATAAATATTATTTGTAAACGTAAGTTTCTCCGGAAAAAGTCAAATAATCTATTTATCTTGCAGCTTTTCTTGGAACTGAATAAACTTACCAACTGGGACGATAAGCTAAATATGTTTGTAAAATTTCTTCCTCCGTTATATATGAAATTCTCTGCCGAATCTATGAAATCTCTATGTTTAACAATTTACAAACACGTGCAAGCATTATATAAGTATAACATAACGGAATTACCGAAAATTACGTCACCCGTAATACTTCTTAAGTCAACCACAATGTCGCTGAATTTTCCTCATGAGGATTATGGCCTCCATAAGGTATATATCATATAAAATTTACTACAATCAAAATTGTTTAATTCACACGGAGGAATTTTATTCAACGAAATAATTTTCAGATTACCACTGGAAATGTACAAGTGCATTATATCGAAGGAAATCACTCTTCGATATTGTACAACGACAAAGTTGTAGCTACTATCAATGGGCAATATATTGATGCAATATATTGATATATTAATAATGGAAAACAATGATTTATAATATACAATATTATAATAATATATGTTAAATATAAGAATTAAAGGGTTAATATAAAAATTAAAGAATTAAAACGTAGATTACCTGTTGTAGAAGGGTGGAATTTGAAAAAGAATACAGCGTTTTAGCCGTACAAGATGAAAGGAAATATTTTATATTAACGTCAGAAATTCTGACACCCTCCTACAACAGGTAATCTACGTTTTAATCCTTTAATTCTTATATTAACCCTTTAATTCTTTATTAAACTATATTAATTCTCTAATTAACACTTGTTCGTAAAATGACAAAGGACTCTTTTAAAATGTAGATTACGTTTTCGAAGAGTCCTTTGTCATTTTACGAACAAGTGTTGTCCTTAATCGTCAGGCACATTGCACATAGAATTATAATATGTGCGTGTATGTATACTATATACTATATACTCTATATTCTAATTTAATATATTAATAAAGAAATACTTTCGACAGATACAGAGAGGAAAGATCATGGTATGCTATTTACTGATTCTTTTTTACTTTCGCGAATCTTTTAATTTTTATAATTAATTTGTAGATGAGATTAAATATTAAGAGGCCGATTTTAAGACTGTTTAATAATGCTTAAGAAACCTTGCTTTCTTGCCTTTTCAGAAAGTAAACTGTACGATAAAACATTATTATCATTATTTGGACAGTAAACCAATTTGACATATCGTAATTTAAGAAACGATATACGTAATTCAAGAGATAATATTAGGTGTACAAATGAATAATCTAAATTATTTTAAGCAGTTATGAAATCAATTTTAAATTGAATAGATTTTCCCGCTCTTTTGTGATTATGCAATGTAGACATATAGCTATTAAAAAGAACATATAGTTTGGCGAAAGGTCCAACATAACCATCAAAAGTATTCAGTTCAGTACAGTTGAAAATGGCAACAGATAAGGTGCATATCCGACACTGCATTCTTTATGAATTCCAACAAGGAAAAAATGCTGCAAGAGTGTGCGAATCGATTTGTTCCTTTCTCGGCAAAGGTGTTGTATCGTACGATATGTGCGCATTTTGGTTTAAGGGGATCATTCTGTACATGCCTACCGACAGTTGTCGGTGTCGTTAACAGCGTCGGTCGACAAATATGAATAAATGCGATTCTGTACCACTATTAACGACAAATGTTTAACGATACTTATCGTTAATGTACGACAAATGTCGTTAAATTTAACGTGACTTCCCTTACGTGACGGAAACGTTCTACCGACAAATTTCGAAGGAAAATATATGTTCTTTTTAACTACAGTTGTGTTCGGAAATTCGCTGTCGGTAGGCTTATAGTGCGTGAGCGCCTAAAACGAACGCAAGCTTAGAATGAAGAACAAAACCTAAAAAGGAATAAAGATTGTAGCTTGTAAAAGTGAGTATTTCTCAGATATTGTTTTATATATATATACCTGATATAATAAAAATATATTGCAAATATCGCATACGCATATATATATACATATTTAAAATGCAATGTTTTCTTTATTTTTTAAGTCATTTGGAAAAGATATGCAAATGCTATTACTTAGGATAAAGTATGTGAAATATTAATTTTTATACAGATAAAATAGATATTGAATAAAGGTTAAGTAAGAGTCGACATAGATCTTGTTATTAATAACCCAGTAAACCATTTGATGCCAAATCGGCACCAAATTGGCACCAAATGTACCCAAAACTTGACGTCAAATCAGGTGCCATCTGTGTCCGCAAAAAGCTCGGGTTCTGGTACTAATGATTGCGTACATAACCTGATGCCAAATTGACGCCAAATCCACAGCAAACTTTGGTGTCAGAATCCGACAGCAAATTGGCGCTAAATACAGCGCAAACCTTGATGTCAGAATCCGACAGCAAATTGGCACCAAATACGTAGCAAACCTTGGTGTCAACGCGACACCAAATTGACGCCAAACCCACAGCAAATCTTGGCGCCAGCACGCGACACCGAATTGACGCCAAATCCACAGCAAACTTTGGCGTCATACGCGGTATCAAATTGACGCCAAATCCATAGCAAATCTTGATGGCAGCCGCGATACCAAATTGACATCAAATCCACAGCAAACTTTGCTGTCAAAGTTTGACACAAATTTGACGCCAAGAATTAAAATGAAAAATACCGATTGTTTATTGCAACACAGATGTATCAACGTCAACGTCTTAAAAATGTGGCACTGAAAAGTGCCGATTTGCTCCACCCTCTTCAGGTAGAGTATGTGTAGTGTATGTGTGTGTGTGAGGCGTAGGAGCAGCACGCTACTTACAAGTAACCCTGCGAAATACGTGTGATGTGTGTGTGCGTGTGTGAGCGTGTATGTTGAATCCCTCTCTCCTGCAGCAATCCCTCTCTCCTGCAGCAATCCCTCTCTCCTGTGACAATCCCTCTCTCCTGTGATCGTGGATTGTCGCATCTGTAAATACCTTGTAAATACAAAAGTTTTTACCTTTTCAAAAAATTAACATAAAAATAAGTATTATCATAACTGTCGTAATCAACATATTATCGTTTATTTCCTTCTTGTTTCTTTATGTATTTTCGGGCTCTTCCTCTTGTTCTTCCTCACGATCGTCGCCCCATAAGTCCCTCTGGATCCTTGGTCCTCCTGCCGTTGTCCCTCGTCTTCTGTGCCTGTGCCGCTCCTTAGCTGTTCATAAGGCCGCTTGCATTTGAGTTTGGAACTCGGAACGCAGAGGCCTTTCGAAATGCCGATTACGACATATACCATCTGGAAAATTATAAGTTATCATTATATATCATGATATGTATCATATAGATGCCGAAAAAAATATTATATTAATATCATGTGGCAAACATCGAACGTAGTGATATCATAACGACGTACTTGCTACGTCTGTTAAGATAGAGTTAAGTGACATGAATATATAAAAGCCTTATCATTTCTTACATCAAAACTTAGACGATATTCAGCCCTACACATAAATTTGCAGATTGAGTAAGTTACTATCATTTTCATAAGATCATAATAAATAACTTATGTGTTAGGTTTAAAATCGTTAAAGTTGTGATGCAAGGAATGGTAAGGCATTTATAGATTGCCGGTAATTATTCAGTTCAGTCCCCTCACCTCCGATTTGGCTGAAACTTACATATATTGTGTATTTTGACGCGTAGAAATTGAATCTATAAGTCAAAATCGTCGCTCTGCACTGTGAATTGAGATATAGGATCAGTTCTTTATAGCTGCACTCTGCTGAACTAATGCAATAAGTTAAAATCTGACAACTATATTTTGTCTCACTCTAAGTTATTGCATTAGTTCAGTATTGCAGCTACAAAGAACAGATCCAATAATGGTTAAAGTTGACTGGGATGACAGGTTAGAAAACCTGTCATACTAACGAGTTAATAGCAACACTAGTATACTCTGTGGCCACCCAAACAGCAATAATTTTATAGTTTCTAGATATACTTTAGAAGAAATGTTAGATTAAAAAACAATTAAATCAGAATATTTATCAAAGTACCCAGCAAACACAATGTTACATGTAACGTACATGTTAGTTGTAATTTCTTATTAAATCTTTGTCTTCTTAAATGAGTATATATATTAGATTATAAATAATAAAAACATTTATTAAAAGATATATAAAAACGCAGGTGAGCACGCGCAGAGTATACTAGTGTCGCTACGATTAGTTGCTGTGACAGATTTCCTAACCTGTCATATCGGTCAACTTTGACGTTTCGTATCTCGCTTCACGGTATGGAGCGACGACTTTAGCTTACAGATTCGGTTTCTACGTGTTAAAATACATAATTTATGTCAATTTCAGCGAAATCAGAATTGAGGGGTCTAAATTGGATGATAATTACCTTATATTCATACGTGCTTATCCCTATCTAAATAGATATAGCAAGCACATCGCTACGTATGCGTGTCTTATTATTACTATATTCATTATATATAAAAGTTACATGATCTTCAACGTCACACATACAGAATGACAATGAAAATCGTAACTTTCACACATAATAAATACAGAAATAATAAAACACATATACAACAAGTTATGAACAAGAGGTGTACTTACCGTAGATGGTTTTTCACGAAGCGAGTGTTGTACAATGCCTCTTGATTTTCCTTGCCCCCGAACCAAGTCAAAAATGGCGTCAAGGAGTCCTGGATGCTGTCCTTGAAACACAGATTTACTTTACAGTTGAAGCCACCGATGTAATGGAAATAGTTGACCTGAAACAGAAAAGACAGGTATAATAACCAAACAAATAATACATCAAAAGGCGTCAAAATGTTTCTTTCTACTTACAGCATTGTTGTAAAGTTCTATATGAATATCCTGGAAAGCACGTAATTGTGCGATCGATGCTATGGGGAACATCTCTGGTCTACATGACACTGAAGTACAATGGTTGGTGTTTTGCACGCACTTGTAGATATTCTCCAAGAGTGTATTCATTTTCCTGACAACACAAGGTAAGGAAATATCAGTTTCAATTAATTTTTCTAAGATTAAAAAGTATATACTCACTTCATCTGTGTCTCCATATGATCTAAACGATCGTTCACCTCCCTGTATAAAAAAATAGCATTTTTAAACATTATTTTTGACAAATATACATATACAGGGTGTTTGATAGCTGATCATGCATAGCTGATCATGCAGACGAAAGTTGGAGATAGATTGGGTGTAGCCGAGAAGAAAAGTCATGTACCATAATGTCAAATTGGCAATAGTTATCGAGTTATTAATTAAAACGTGGTGCTTGCTATATCTATTTAGATAGGGATAAGCACGTATGAATATAAGGTAATTATCATCCAATTTAGACCCCTCAATTCTGATTTCGCTGAAATTGACATAAATTATGTATTTTAACGCGTAGAAACCGAATCTGTAAGCTAAAGTCGTCGCTCCATACCGTGAAGCGAGATACGAAACGTCAAAGTTGACCGATATGACAGGTTAGGAAATCTGTCACAGCAACTAATCGTAGCGACACTAGTATACTCTGCGCGTGCTCACCTGCGTTTTTATATATCTTTTAATAAATGTTTTTATTATTTATAATCTAATATATATACTCATTTAAGAAGACAAAGATTTAATAAGAAATTACAACTAACATGTACGTTACATGTAACATTGTGTTTGCTGGGTACTTTGATAAATATTCTGATTTAATTGTTTTTTAATCTAACATTTCTTCTAAAGTATATCTAGAAACTATAAAATTATTGCTGTTTGGGTGGCCACAGAGTATACTAGTGTTGCTATTAACTCGTTAGTATGACAGGTTTTCTAACCTGTCATCCCAGTCAACTTTAACCATTATTGGATCTGTTCTTTGTAGCTGCAATACTGAACTAATGCAATAACTTAGAGTGAGACAAAATATAGTTGTCAGATTTTAACTTATTGCATTAGTTCAGCAGAGTGCAGCTATAAAGAACTGATCCTATATCTCAATTCACAGTGCAGAGCGACGATTTTGACTTATAGATTCAATTTCTACGCGTCAAAATACACAATATATGTAAGTTTCAGCCAAATCGGAGGTGAGGGGACTGAACTGAATAATTACCGGCAATCTATAAATGCCTTACCATTCCTTGCATCACAACTTTAACGATTTTAAACCTAACACATAAGTTATTTATTATGATCTTATGAAAATGATAGTAACTTACTCAATCTGCAAATTTATGTGTAGGGCTGAATATCGTCTAAGTTTTGATGTAAGAAATGATAAGGCTTTTATATATTCATGTCACTTAACTCTATCTTAACAGACGTAGCAAGTACGTCGTTATGATATCACTACGTTCGATGTTTGCCACATGATATTAATATAATATTTTTTTCGGCATCTATATGATACATATCATGATATATAATGATAACTTATAATTTTCCAGATGGTATATGTCGTAATCGGCATTTCGAAAGGCCTCTGCGTTCCGAGTTCCAAACTCAAATGCAAGCGGCCTTATGAACAGCTAAGGAGCGGCACAGGCACAGAAGACGAGGGACAACGGCAGGAGGACCAAGGATCCAGAGGGACTTATGGGGCGACGATCGTGAGGAAGAACAAGAGGAAGAGCCCGAAAATACATAAAGAAACAAGAAGGAAATAAACGATAATATGTTGATTACGACAGTTATGATAATACTTATTTTTATGTTAATTTTTTGAAAAGGTAAAAACTTTTGTATTTACAAGGTATTTACAGATGCGACAATCCACGATCACAGGAGAGAGGGATTGCCACAGGAGAGAGGGATTGCTGCAGGAGAGAAGGATTGCTGCAGGAGAGAGGGATTCCACATACACGCTCACACACGCACACACATACACGCACACACACATCACACGTATTTCACAGGGCTACTTGTGAGTAGCGTGCTGCTCCTACGCCTCACAACACACACATACACTACACATACTCTACCCGAAGAGGATGGAGCAAATCGGCACTTTTCAGTGCCACATTTTTAAGGCGTTGACGTTGATACATCTGTGTTGCAATAAACAATCGGTACTTTTCAGTTTCACTTAATAAAAGTTTATATTACATCATATATTAGGTTGTTCGGAAAGTTCGTTTCAAATTTTGCGCGCTCCACATTTCTGTGTAATCAGTAAGAACGAGGGCGCTCTAAACGATTTTATGTTTGTCAACAAACATTCCCGGATCTATGAGCCCGCTAAGGAAACTTCGCAGATCTTCCTAAGTGCAACTATTTCGTCAGAAATCAGTTTGAAAGATGGAGAACCAAAAAGTCTATTTTCGTCATGTGATGCTATATTGCTTTAAACATGGCTTCACAGCTTCGCAGACCCTGAATGAGATGTTCTCAGTATATGGAGATGCCTGCGTCACTCACCAGACAGTTCGAAAATGGTATCGAAGATTCGAAGCTGGCGATTTCAACATGGAAGGTCAAGCTCGCTCAGGTCGGCCTCAGGAGGTTGATGAAACGTTTCTTATGGATCTCGTGCACGAAAATCCTCGAGTGACAGTTAGAGAACTCGCCGACACTCTGCACAAGTCTGTTCCACCGTACATGACCATCTGAAGAAGCTAGGATTCTCAAGTCGACTGGATGTGTGGGTGCCACACGAAATGAATGAACGGCAGTTGCTGGAACGTGTGAACGTCTGTGATGTGCTGCTTCAACGGCATCAAAAAGAACCGTTCTTGAAGAGAATCATAACAGGCGATGAAAGTTGGATCCTATACAATTATGTTAGCCGCAAGACGTCGTGGGGAACCAGCGACGCGTCTACGCAAACAGTGGCCAAGCCGGGGCTTCACGTGAAAAAGGTTCTTCTGAGTATCTGGTGGGATTTTAAGGGCGTGGTATATTATGAGCTTCTTCAACCAAACGAAACCATCAACGCGACGAAGTACAGCCTTCAATTGGACGAACTGAAGACTGCCATCGCACGGAAGCGCCCTGAATTTGCCAACAGGCGTGGAATTGTTTTCCATCATGATAACGCCAGACCTCACGTCGCAATGTCTATCCGTAGGAAGCCGTTAGACTTCGAATGGGACGTTCTTCCTCATCCTCCATATTCTCCCGACCTTGCCCCATCTGACTACTATCTATTTCTTTCTTTAAAAAATTTTCTTCGGAACAAGAAATTCGAGTCTTTGAAAGTCCTCAAAAGTCATCTTGATAAATTTTTCGCCAATAAGAAACCTTTATTTTGGAGCAAAGGCATCATGCAGCTTCCTAAAAGATGGGCCAAGGTCGTTGAACAAAACGGTATATATTTGCTTCAATAAAGTTCCTCTTTGTGTAAAATATTGCGCTCTTAATTTATTTCAAAAATTTGAAACGAACTTTCCGAACAACGTAATATATGTATATATATATGTATATATATATATATATATGATATAATGTGAACTTTTATTGAGTGGAACTGAATATATATACATATTGGGGGTTACCTATTTATTTATTTAAATTTAAATAGCGTTAATTTGTAATATATATGGTTTTAATAAAAACATTTATATTTTTATTTGTGACTCATTTAATTCCTGAAATAAAAAAATTATGGCATTAAAGCGACAAATTTTATTTAATTCTTGGCGTCAAATTTGTGTCAAACTTTGACAGCAAAGTTTGCTGTGGATTTGGTGTCAATTTGGTATCGCGGCTGCCACCAAGATTTGCTATGGATTTGGCGTCAATTTGATATCGCGTATGACGCCAAAGTTTGCTGTGGATTTGGCGTCAATTTGGTGTTGCGTGCTGGCGCCAAGATTTGCTGTGGGTTTGGCGTCAATTTGATGTCGCGTTGACACCAAGGTTTGCTACGTATTTGGTGCCAATTTGCTGTCGGATTCTGACATCAAGGTTTGCGCTGTATTTAGCGCCAATTTGCTGTCGGATTCTGACACCAAAGTTTGCTGTGGATTTGGCGCCAAGATTTATCATGTATTTGGCGTGAATTTGTTGTCGGGTTCTGCCACTAAGGTTTGCTTTTTATTTGACGCCAATTTCTTGTCGGATTTTTGTCAAGCCTTGCTCTGTATTTGACGTTAATTTGGCATCAAGTTGTGTACGCAGAGTTTGTTGCATATTTGTTAACAATTTGTCGACATCATTTGGAATACCAAGTTTTGTTTCAAATTTGTGCTGTTTTTGCTGACAAAACTTGTAGCATGTGTTTGGAATTATTTGGCATTACAAATTTGGCTATTTGGGAATATATATATGAGTATTCAAATATTATACGATTAACATATCTATGAAGGTTAAATACAAATGTATATGATAATACAATAATGCAAAGTTATTGCTTTATTTAACAAAACTTAGAAAATTGTATCTGGCATACAATAGGCAATTATTAGTATAAAATTAAAATTAAAAACATTTTCATGACACGAATAACTACTTATGATTTTAAAGACATAAGTGCTTATCAAACTTGAAGAAAACTTCTGTGACAGCACATAATATTTAAAATATTTAATGTAACTTTTAAATATTTATTAATATTATGTCTATCTTTTTACCATTGTCTTGTCGAGTATTAACTACTTCATGAGTGAATAGTTAAAGTGAATAGAAATCACCTAACACAAGGGTCAGATTATATTTGTTCAGATATTACTTACTTTACGATATATTTTCTGCACTTTGACTACGCGTGTTTTCTTTAATATAATCTAAATGAAATCTTAAAGATAAAGATAAATCTTAAAAGAAATCTTAAAAGAAATCTTAAAAGAAATCTTAAAAGATCATTGTTATTTTAGCTGAATTTCTTGTTTTAAGAAATATATATATTTTGTTATAGCATTGCAAAATGGCAGAAGAATTCCTAGCATGGGATATTTTATATTTGGAGCATCGCATGAGGCGTTTAGAACGTCGTATGGAGAGAAAGAATTGGAGAGAATTGCATGATCCTTTTGATCTCCACAATGTCGAATTTCTCAAGTTACATAGACTACGAGGGCGGTCCGATAAGTACTTAGCCTCACCGCTCGATGGCGCCACTATCGCAAGAGAAATTTACTATCGTGTAGTACACTCTCGTAGACGGCTACTGTCGAAATTTCAGCCGAATCGGACTCGTAGTTTTGTTTTGACCGCGTGTGGAAGCGGGCGTATCCGCGGATTTTAGAAAAATGGAAAAAGAGCAATATCGGTCGGTGATTCGATTCTTGTTTTTGGAAGGGAAATCGCGCAGCGAAATCAAAGAGCGCTTGGATGCTGTGTACGGTGACTCTTCTCCTTCGATGGCGACCGTCAAAAATTGGTTTAACGAGTTTCAACGTGGTCGCACGTCAGTTTTTGATGAGCCACGCCCAGGTGCCCCGAAAACGGCTACCACGGAGGATAACATGACAAAAATCCACGATCTCGTATTGACAGACCGCCGATTGAAGGTGCGCGAGATAGCTGAGACAGTAGGCATCTCAAAAGACCTCGTGGGTCATATCCTGCATGAAATTTTGGGCATGAGAAAGCTATCGGCGCGATGGGTGCCGCGTTTGCTCACTCCGGACAACAAGCGCAACCATGAGACCACTTCAGAGCAGTGTTTGACGCTGTTTAAGCGCAATCCGAAGGAGTTTCTGCGTCGTTTCGTGACCGTCGACGAAACATGGATCCACTGGTACACACCAGAGACCAAGGAACAATCGAAGCAGTGAACTTCACCCGGCGAACGTGCTCCGAAGAAGGCGAAGACTGTCCTATCGGGCGGAAAGGTGATAGCCACCGTTTTCTGGGATTCACAAGGTGTGATCTACATCGACTACCTGGAGAGGGGTAAAACGGTCACAGGGCTGTACTATGCCGAATTATTGGGCCGATTCGACACCGAATTGAAGAAAAAACGGCCCCATTTGGCGAAGAAAAAAGTGCTCTTCCACCATGACAACGCACCGGCTCACACCTCCGCCCTCGCCATGGTCAAATTGGTCGAATTGGGCTACGAACTGCTGCCCCATCCACCGTATTCTCCAGATTTGGCCCCGTGCGACTTCTTTTTGTTTCCAAACTTGAAAAAGTCACTCGCCGGGCAGAAATTTGAGTCGAATGAGGAGGTCACCGCCGCCACGGAGGCCTACTTTGCAGATCTCGAGAAAACGTATTTTTCAGACGGGTTAAAGAAGTTGGAGCATCGCTGGGTCAAATGTATCGAGCTAAAAAGAGACTTGAGAAATAAATCGCCACTTTTCCAAAATTTTCGTGTTTCTTTTGTAGGCTAAGTACTTATCGGACCACCCTCGTAAGTCCAGAGATCGTAATAGATTTAATTGAAACATTAAGACCAAGATTGGAACATGAGCGACCAAGTGGTCTTAGTCCTGAACGTCAGATATATAGAATACTTTATGTTACATCTTTACACAAATTAATTTTTTTTAAATGTGGTCTATTTTGCCAAAAATAGTGATTTTGAAAGCTTTGTATATAAAACACAAGTGATAAAATAAAAATAATTTTTTAAAAGCATGATATTTTTTAATTTGTTACAAATTTATAAATATTTTTTATAGGTTTTAGCCACTTTAAGGTTTTATGCTGTTGGATGTTTTCAAAGTGCTATAGGAGAACAATGGGATATTGCAATAAGCCAGCCTTCTGTTAGTCGCTGTATACGAAAAGTAACTGACGCAATAAATGATCTTCTTCTACGACAATGAGTTTGATTCCCCATGACAGATGGCGAACGTCAAGTCGCCCGGGAAAAGTTTAGGATTGCTCCACAACCGTTTATAGGTGCAATTGGAACCATCGATTGCTCTTATATAAACATTAAAGGGCTAAAAGAGCACGAAGAAGCATACGTGAATCATTGGGGTGACCATACTCTCAACGTTCAAGTGGTATGTACTACATCAAATAAATATTTTAATTAGTAAGTAATTTCATCTTATGTGAAAATTTAATTATTAAAAGTTTTAATTGTTATATCTTTAATTTTTGTAAAAGGTTTTAAAATTTTAATATTTTTAATTTAGTTCTAAGATTATAAAACTTTTGATTTTAATTTATTTTATATTTTGCTCATAATTTTAAGTTATTTTATATAAATGTATTCATAAAAATTTTAATTAATAATATTTTCCTTACGAGTAATGTATATGTAATTTAAGTACCATGTAGTGACATAATTATTTAATATTATTATTTCACGGACATTTTAGTTCGGTTTTATTGGTAATTTATATTTTAAATGTACATCATATATATATGTAATATAATATTTAATTATACTCAATGACATTTTAATTACGCTTAATGACATTTATAAAATACCTTTTTATACCTTTTTAAAATATAAATATGATATATACATGTAAGAAATAAATATTTTCATGTTATTCAGATCTGTGATCCTGATTTAAAAATATTGAATGTAAATGCGCGATATCCAAGTGCACGACACGATGCTTATATTTGGTCAAATTCTCCTATACGACGTATAATGGAACGAAGATATAATAATGGAGAATGCAATACTTGGTTAATTGGTAAGCTAAACGTAATCACGAAATAGTAATAATTAAAGCTTTTGGTATTTCATGTCGAATTAAAGAATGATTTGGGATAAAAGGGTGTGTTTGATGATGAGACTTTCATTCGCCGCGTAAATTAAAATCGAAAAATACATTCGATACGTATGTTAACATTGTTAGACAATATTATCTTCCCAAAAAGTTTTAAATATTCCTATCATTGCCATAACTGGCTGTCATTAGCCTTATTTGATTGTATATCATTAGAACCTTTGCATTTTATTATTTTAAAGCTTTTTAATTTTATTATTTTTTATTATTTCATTACATTTCATTCTTATTTTATTATATATTATCATCTTATTATTTTATTATTATTAACAGGTGATGATGGATATAGCTTAGAGCCATGGTTAATGACACCTCTAAAACATGAAATACCAAATACACCTAGGTTTCAATATAACGAGGATCTGTGCAGCGCTAGATCGTGCGTGGAACGTTTATTTGGCGTCTGGAAATCCGTGTTCAGATGTTTATCTGCCCAGAGGCGCTTAATGTATGAGCCAGGTATGGCTGGTAAAATTATTAACGCATGTGCCGTGTTACACAGTGAGGATTGCTCATCGTATACAAGACGAAAAATTAAATGAAATGCATGAAAACTTGCATCACGTCAACAGACCAAATAGAGCTGTGGAGTATGACGACAGAGGTTATGCGTATCAAGGCCGGGCACTTGCCATACGTATTCAGGAGTTTTATTGCTCAGCATTATGAGAGAATATAAAAAAATTATTTCTCTAAACACGTACATAGTTATTATTTAAATTCTTTTGTATTACATTTGTATTGTATTTGTATTATATATTATATATTATATTATATATGTTATAATTTTGAAATAAACAATATATCTATAATATAAAGTGTGTAACATTTTTAACCATAACGTATTGTTCGGAACTAGACCGAACATACAATAGCTCCGGAGACCTGGCTGATAAGAAGGGATCGCAGAGCGACGTCAGCCTGCGCCCAGGCTGCTCGACGACCGACCGGTCGTCCTGATTGAGGGCTGGGGCCCCGTAAGGCGACCACAGACCCTGCTGAACACGCAACACCGCGCGCCGACGCACCGCGCTCAGGGACGGCGGCGAAGCGATAGAGAGAGAGAGACGACACGCACGCAATGATGCAGAGACGCCGATGTAAAACGTAATGAATGCAGTAGACTCAATAGAATGTCGCAGAAGTAACGCAGTAAAACGCAAGTGGAACAACGCAGGAGAACTATGTACAAAGCGAACAACATTCGCTAACGCAAAGTCCCGCAGGACACACGTCCGTGACGTCCACGGCGCGCGGCACCCGGAGCACGTCAAGGACGTGTAACGAAACGACCTCCGTCGTTTCGGACGGCCTGCCCTTCCGGACGTAACGGCCAATAGCCAGCCACGGTCCTGAGGACGCGTGGGAATTGAGCTCCGAAGCTCCGGCTCGCAGGACGACCGAGTCGCTTCTGCAAGAAAGCCAAGTTCCTAACGGACACTTGAAAAAAGGAGCACGAACGCTCTAGGACGGCGACCGAGCCGCTTCTAAATCGCCAAGGCCCCCTACGGACGCTTGGGCAACAAGGGAGCTCGAAGCTCCGAGGAGACGGTCGAGTCGCTCCTAAGATCACGGCAACACTGTGAGCCCGAGATCACAAAACGAGATTCGAACCATTAGCCTCGACCTAGCAGAGTGTATTGGCGCCACCTTCAACTCAGCAGAGTATATAGAGCAGTGGTTCGAATCTAAGACGGAAGACCGATCGCCTTAGAAAGCCTAGACAGCGCGTCGGTAATCACCAGTACAACGATGCACGAACACGTAGCACAACTTGCTACCAAAAACTGTTCAGTCAGAAGATAAGGCAAGGCAAAGACCGGGCACGGCGCGTCCGGTTATATAGCCGGGCGGCCGAATCTTGCCTGCGGGCAGCGGAATCGCGAGCCGCGCCGTGTAGCGGCCGCGGTTGGACCTACCGGGAGTCCCGCGCGCTCGCTCGCGAGAACCCGCGTTCCCCGCCGCTAGCGAGAACCCCCCAGGAACCAGGCCGCCCGCCCTGCAGCGTCGATTCGCACCGACTTTCCGTACGACATTACGTGCCGTACGGAACACGTATAATAAGTTATAAAGATATAAAAACATTCTTATATTATGTGATTGTGACGTATTAATTGAATAGTATTTTTTCCATTAATTTATGCATATTATCTAAAGTTGTAATCAGTTTTTCGTCTACTTCTAATCTTCTTTCCTCCATTAAAAATCTTTTTTCTTCCAAGGCGTTCTGTACACGTACATTTTCTGCTTGCATCATTGCAGCATCAGCTTGCTTCATTGAAGCCTCCGCAAACAATTGTAACAAAAAATATCAGTTATTATGAAATTTACAATTATTTCTTTTCACTTTAATGTTTTAGATTACTATTAATTATTACTTGAAATTTGTCTTAGTTCAGATTAATCAGATTTCAAATTTAAATATTTTATTTAAATATTATAATACATGCAACATTAAAACTACGACGAGTTAAAGAACTCTAAATTTAAATCAAAGTATCTCAGTATCCTAAGTTTAAATAACAATTATTATATTGATTTAATTTAACAAACATTAAGCAACACTTATATAACTGTTACTTATAATTCCCCTTGTTAAACAATGTTATTGCTACATAACATGCACGTTATATTGCATTCACGTTGTTAAGTGTAAAATTGTAATTAAATTATGTTACTGTTACTTGATGTTTGTTGCAATGGAATTAGAAGGGAGAAAATGCATGCTCCAAATTTCTGTACACGACATTGAGATAAAGAAATATATTCACAACTTGTAATAAACTAAGCACACTTACTAAATACTACGAACAATTTCCTTTCGTTCTAACAATAAATTGCCATAAAATTATCGTGATATACAATACTTTTTAACCTATTTTTCTCATTCTGTAACGTTAATTTAATAGTAACTTATTGATTATTGGAGCAAGAAGAAAACATTTGTAATATTTTATAGTGTACTTAATCAATAGTATTTGTTATTTTTGCGATATATTTCTTTATTTTAACGTACTTTGGAATTTAGAGCATCTTATCGCTTCTAATGTCACAATTATAATTACATCACAAAAAAAGATTAGTTTTAATATACTTTATGCAATAATAAAAATGCTACCTGTAGAGCTCTAGCGTGATTTTCAGCAATTTCTGTAAATTTTTCTCGAGCTTGTTGCAGCTCGACGCTTATACGTTTACTACTTCTCTCTACAAAAATAAGTAAATAAGTAAATAAAAAATAAAAAATATCTTTTTGAAATACATAACAAAATATTACAACCATTTTAGAAGCAAACATGTGTCACATTGGAATATAGTTCCTGTGGAATATACAAATATAAATATATATTGCACATTATAATAAATTTACACTTACTATTATATATTTCCTTCTTTTTTTGTTGCAGTCTCTTTGATGTTGCTTTTTTTAAGCTTGTCGGCCTTTTCGTTGTAGTGTCTTCATTATTTAAACATTGCATAACATCATTATATGTCAAATCGTTTTCGTTACTTGTATTAGTCTCCATTATTTCAAAAACGTTATCTAAACACGTATGTATAAAGAAGAAATATAGTTTGCAATATATAGAATATAATAATAAACTTGAATTTATATGTCATTAGATTATTATATAACAGTATGCAGCAAACATCAAATAATAGTACCATAAATATTAGTTATAATTTCCTATTCAACAATGTAAATGCGATATAACACGTGTGTTGTATAACAGTTTCATTGTTGAGTGGAATAAACTGTTATATAAATATTATTTCATATTTGCTAAGTATAAATGTATATGTAATCTCTTATTGTATGTATGTGCGTATATGTATATGTGTGAATGCGCGTGCATGCGTGTAAGTACGAAAAAAGAGTATTCATGTGTAATAGAATGAATGAGTGAACCATCACTGATATCTGCGTTTTTTTCCAAATTCAAAATTTCACTTATAGACGTCGTCTCTGGTGGAATATTTAGAACATCATAGTTCTCATGTTCTAGTTGAAGTTGATGTTTCTAAAAATATATATAAAATATATTCCTATAAGGAAATACATTAAATAGCATTAAAAATACTTATATATTACTATATATATTACATTGTATTGTACTATACATTTGTTCTTTAATACTGCATTGGAACTTTGTACTTTTTCTTTCCAGTATTCAAATATATACTTACTTCAATCCAAATGCAGAAAGTGCAATATAATGTAGTGAAAATTAACTTCATATCTACAAAAAAAAACGTAATACAAAAGTATTTACTTATATAAGTAAAGAAATATGAATGTACCTCTTGTTCCGGAGTACTGTCCAGACAATCATGTGCACCTTCAACATATTGTAGCCCAATACAGGCAACAATACGTTGTTGCAAATTATCGAGACTTTCTGAATTCAATGGAAAATTTCCCGTCCGATTCCTTTCATAGCGTAATTTTGCTGCTTTCTTTGAAGCGTTACTTTTTAAACCACGCCAAACCTAAAAATTACATGAATATAGATAATAATATTATATTCTTCAAATATCATGTCTATAACTTACTATAACTTACTATAACATTACTATAACTTAATCAACAATAACATTATATTAATATTATTATTAATTCCCACTCCAGCAATGTAAATGCAATATAATGTATTAAATTGCTCAGAGAATCTGTAGATAAAATTAAAGTACTAATAGTAGCATTTACTTAGTACTAAAATATTAAATAAGTAAAATTAAAGACATATTATTAACTAATGTATTAAGAATTTTCATGAAATACATGTCATGATCAAATACTTACTGTCTGCCACTGCTTCGATGTTTTCTTATTGCCTGCAGACAATGCATTAAGCATTTCTGCCAATTGCTCCCATTGTTAAGCGGGATTTTATCATCTTTAGTTAAATACTTATTTGTGGCAAATTCTGAATGTGACTCCATATATTTTACCAATTCTTCATATTGAGCTGTCGTCTTTACTGAACGGCTTTTCTTCAAACTAAATAAAAAAACATTGACATTTAATTTTATACAAAAATACATATCATACGTAAGTATCATAAAATTATAACACATATAACACATATACAATAAGATAAAAATACAAATATTATCCCAACACAATAAATTGAAACAATCTTTTATTAATATATACTAATTTTTACCCACATACCACTAAAAATACTGCAAGATCTGCAGGCAATATAAACAGAATAAAATTTATTGTTTTGTAACCAAGTAAACACCAATCGACAGTAATAATATCAATGTTAATATTTCCTATTTAATAATGTAAATGCAATATAACATATATATTATTTTGCATTTACATTGTTAAATGGAAAATAATAATATTGATGTAATGTTATTGTTGATTAGTATTTATTGAAATTACTAACATGCATTTTAAATATATATACAGCAGATTTTTACTCTATTCTTACCATCAATTTTCTGTTGAATGATTTGATAAGAAGTTAATGAAGTAGATGTCTTTAATATTCATTTTGTTCCTTAACAAGTAGCTGCCATCCTTTTCTTCAACAGAACAATATTAAAAATATCAACACATATATATCAACACAGAAAAGTTATAATATAGAATCATTATTAGTAGGAAACGTTTAATTGATCCTATATTATTTCTTTTCCGTTTCTTATTATATTTTTTATACA